AGGGAATAGGTAGTAGAATAAACTGTATAAGAGTTTCATCTAAAGATTATATCCCACATCTTGTTGCTGATGTAGTGACGTGAACTAACTCCCATCCTACATGTACCCTTCCACATTTGCCTCTCACTGTTTCACCACAACAAGGCCAACTCTTTGATCAGTGCGTGTTTGTTTTCACTTTCTGCACGCTTGCTCACGCTTTTGCATCGTCCTTTTTTCCATTGCAGGTTATCATAATGCAATCGCCCTCCATTTCGTAAATTGTCTATTTCTGCTTTCAAACGAACGCTCGTTTGCGATATAGACTTATTATCTCGGGGTACCGATAAGACAGCGCCTACAAATCAGTAAGCCCTCGTATTTCTTTCAGCGAATTTTATTTTTTCTGGGCCAGATTCCTATTATATTGTCGTACATTCGGATCTGTAACATTTACACATAATTTAAGATCACATTTATCTCTAGATTGTGGTTTAACGGTCATCTCTGATTCGAGTTTGGCATTTTGGTCTTCCAAAACGATTTTTTTCCCAGGCCCTTTATGATCGCGTGTTTATATATCCGGTTCCGCAATCTCATATCATATATTTACGGTTTAGTATAACTAGCCTTGAGAATGAATATTCAACCCACAGCAAAGCACCCTTGGCCTATATCAGAGCCCCGAAGTTCATGTCAGAGGACCCGGGGGGGGGGCTCCTCGTCCTTCTGGAATCCCGATTCAATAAAGCCAGTATCACCGGGCAACTGTCACTCTGTCATAAACTGTTGTCCGCAATACCGCGAGTTATGTTGACCAATTTCAGGGATATCTACATAAATATGCTTGCCCTCAATCCATACAATGTGCTCAAAGAAGCACTCCACTGTCGTATGGCGAGTTCGGAAGAGAAGCGCATCCAGCTTCTCCCGTCTGGGATACAACTGCGAAATCTTGGTCTATCCCAGTCGCTGCAACAAATGCGTGCCTTAGTAGGCAACGTAACGTTAGGCGACACTGTACCATGCCAGATCTGGCTTCAGCGGCTCCCACCGTAGGTAGAGAATATCCTCAACCTCATCACCCGCACCCACAGTTTCGACCNGGTGTTTTAGGTTAGGTGTCTAGCGTGTAGTCAGTCCCACATTGAAGCGACCAACGCCTAATTAATCTAAATAAACCAAACCACTTCTTGATCGATTGAAGCCCGGAACCAAATGAACTTGTCCCCCAGAAGCGAGTTGTATTGCGGCATAGAGTGAAACATGTTCCTTTACCGACGTATTATTCTGGCTCTATTCCTTCCTTTCTATTCCTGTCCTCATGCCTCCACCATCAGGCAGCATTTGTTCCACAGAATGCCTCTCCGTATTTCCCCCACTGTTGCCGTACGGCCAATCCTTCCGAGACCAGTTTTACAATTACTTTCAGTTCTGGTGACATGCATTTCCAATGCATCCTCCATCTTCCATAAATTCGTCCGTGACCTTGTCCGGTTTGTGTTCCTTTCGCAGTGTGTTTTCGTTCTGATTCCCACCATTTTTATTGTCTACCTATGTATCTACACTGTTATTGTACATATACTCGCTCTGAACATTTGATCATGCCTTCTGCATGTCTCACGGGCTTCGTGAAATATACACCTATTATTATTATTATTTATCGTTATAGGCTTTTTTTTGGGCCATGAGGGATAAAAATCTCGCTGCCTTGCTTCGATGGGGGTTGTTTCTAGTGTTGAATGAGTGTTCTATAATCTAGACCTAGTGAGCAGACCGAGTGACCAGTGTATTGATCGATCTGTGAAAATCCTTCCTGTAAAGCCCAGTCATTCCATCTCGGTTCCACATTTCGTGAATTTTACGTTCCATTCACCAAACATCATCCGCCTCACATACATATAGAGACTTGACGTTCCACTCCCCTTGTATATTTACACATCAATCCTACCATTTGACTTTGTTTGTTTATCTGCTTCAATTTTTATCCTACTTGTTTTAATTGCGACTTGAGTGCTCACATTTGGCTCNTAGACATTTGACGTTCCACTCCCCTTGTATATTTACACATCAATCCTACCATTTGACTTTGTTTGTTTATCTGCTTCAATTTTTATCCTACTTGTTTTAATTGCGACTTGAGTGCTCACATTTGGCTCGTTCGTGTGCAGCGTGACGATTTGTAGAATTACGCTCACAGTAACACTTGGCTCTTGTTTTCAAGTTGTTTCGAGATCACTTTGAGGTTTGTACAGTTTTTATTTGCTTATTCGATCGTTTAATAATGCAGTACCATAGAAATTTGCCGGATCGTTCGTTTTGTTGACGCTTTGGGATCCGATTTCGGCTACGCGTCGCTCGTTGATCTATTTGGGAGTTACATATACACTTCCCGTTTCCAGACGCTGATTCACTTTATTCATTGAGTTCCCTAGTCTATCATGACTGAGAAAACAAAATACAACCTCACCAAATCATCCTTCGGTCCATGCCATTCCCTGTAGACTGGCTTCAGATACGTTGCGCACCGCACGCGCAGAGTTTCAGCACATGCTGGGCATGGACATCATACGCTCCTCAAAATTTCCATTGGCGTGCCGTCTCCATATTCTATTCAAAATACTTTTGAAAAACTTCCCAACCCAAAATGATTAAATTACACATAACCCCGTTCTTGAATTGCCTGCTTACTGACGTATAATCCTTCACAAACACCCACACATAATTGTTCATTTGCGGACTCGATATCCGCCACATTTCAAATTTTCGCGTGAATAGATAAATTGATCGACATTTTGACTCTCGCCGGACATTCCGTTTGGTTCTTGAGTGCTTGATTGCTTTTGGCCTCATATTTGAGGTTTGCTTTGTTGTATATTTTGCAATGATTTGTTTCCATATATGGAAAAAAACAACGGCTATAGCCGTTATTTTGCTAATCTCGGAAATTAGCAAATAATGCTATATGTAAACGAGTGAGTATGTCTCCCTAGCTGACAGTTGCCATATATTCTAACCCCTCTGAGACTCGGGTGTATCACTTGGCTTACGATCACTTCTACCTCACCAGGAATGCTTTTCTTCCGCAATTCATCATCTTATACCGATTACTTTTCATACTTTCCATCTTTATTCATCCTTATACATATCTACGTTTATGTATGTATCACTCTGAATTTATTAGTGACCTTGAAGTTGAAATTGGGTTGCGCTACAATGTGAAATGGAGCGTTAAAACAATAACTTATTCCACCCAACAATTCCCTATTATACTTCGCTTTCACAAACACCATGACCATTTTCCCAGATTTTGTTGTGTGTTATATGAGGCCATTGTCATTGTATCTTGCCTGCCATGATAGTGCACCACATGCATGTCTCTCGTTGTAATCCGAGAAATATATCATTATTATTAATCTAGTACCATAGAACACTACCAATCAATCGTATTTTGTTTTTGGAATCGTATCAATTTTGGTTACGCCTCGCTCCATTACGATTTGGTTGACGTACACGAGGACCCACCCAAACGACATAACAACGCATTTGCCATCGTTTATTGAAAGGTTCCACACCGTAGACTAGTTTTTTTCTGTATCCATTATTGCTTCAACAGCCACAAGGTCGGTGCTCCAGATTTTCACAGAGTCAGCTTACATTGCAATGATCCTGTGTGACAGGTCATTAATATATATATATATATACATATATATAAGGAAGAGGAGGGAGCCAAAGACGGAACCTTGCGGGACTCCAGGTGAAATGGAAGAAGCGGATGAGAGTGGTGAACGTACACGGAACGAGAAGAGGAGGTTTGGGATAAAGTTGCGAAGTAGAGCCAGGTGTCTGCTAGTATGACTTGAGTTTATAGAGTAACGGAGCGTGGAGAACCTGTTCAAAAACTTATGCAAAGTCGATGAAAATTGCATGGGAAATTAAACCGTCATCATGGACTTCAGTTAGACAGAGAGCAAATTGGAGATTCGGGATATGCCGGGGAGGAGGACGTTTGAGTTTGGGAAAGATGTTGCCTGTCTGAGTAGTGTTTCATTATTGTTTTTTAACCCGTTCGAAGATCTTGCTGGGCACGCTAGTCAGTCTGATGGGTCTATGACTACTAGGGGCACGCCGGTGTCTTTTTTAAATTGTGGGATACGATGCCTCCCTTCTAAAATGAAGGGAATATTCCAGCATCTAGCCACTTTGAAAGGGGGTGCTGTAGTCGGGGGCAGGGACCGAGTCGGCTTTTGTTAAAGCTAGAGGGCGTATACCGTTTGGTCCCATTGGCCTAACTAATTCAAGGATTTGAGGAGTGATTCGGTCTCCCGTGGAAGGATGACGAATTGGTCTTATTGGTCAAGTGTATCAGAGGGTGGGAATTCGGGGTGGGAAGAAACAGGAGGAAAGGAAACGACGGATTCACAATGTGTCCAGAAGACTATGGTTACCTAAGCAGATGAATTTACAGGAGAGCCGTCAGGAAGCTTGTGGGCTAATGCACAGGGTTTGATTGCCTTTTCCGTCTGAGTGATTGAGTAAGGAACTGGGGTTGCTTCTACCACCACGAAGGAGATTTGCTTTCTGTTGTCTCTTGTGGAATTCCTAACTCCCTGCTTACATGAGTTGCGGATTCGCTTGAGCTCCATAGCACCCGTGTCGAACCCAGTACATTTTAGTCTGGTGAACGAACGCGCCCGCTCGTCCATTGGGTGCCGGATGGAGCGATGTATAGGAGCACTATGGTAAGATACAGCTTAAACACTAGGAATACATACGTGACCTATTTGATGAATTAGAATCTCCAGCAAGTCATTTCGGTTGTTCGGGTCAGTATCAGCACTGAAAGAGCCCAGCCTGTTGGTAAAGAATCCGAGTAGGAGAACGAAATCGGCCGTTTTAAAGGTCCGTAGCATTCTGGAAGAGGGCCTGCAAGTAGACCAGTGGATAATTCAGTCAAAGGATAGCAGGAGGTGATCACTTATTACCAACATGACTTCGATACGAGTTCATGCTGATCTGGCGTCTTTCATTGGTAATCCAAATTTCAAGCAGAGAGAAACTTTGGCCGACACGATACCTCGTGGGCGACGCCACGTGTTGGTGTTCGTTGATGAGGTTTATAAGTGATTCATCAGACATTTTATCTCTAGAGTGGCTTCTGAGCCAGTTGATACTCGGGGCGTTAAAGTCGCTCAGTATAAGAAGGTTGGTGAAAGTGCAGGTGGGACGGGGGTCGCGGAGCTCAGTTGAAAGTCATTGACATTTCTCCTGTGTGCTTGATGGGGAGCGATAAACAACCCCCAGGAGGAATTAGTTTCTGGTCAGGAAGATGATGTTAATCAATAGGGTCTTAATCGACTGGATGGTAGGAAGAAAAAAACGCAGAGAGAATGGGAGGGAATCATTAAAGAAGGGATATGCACTTGATATGCACTTCAATACCTGCTTGCTATATATTTCAGTAGGTCTATCAAGATAAAAGAAGTCATGGGGTGACTTTAAGGGAGATCTTTTGTTCCGAGGAGGACGTATCTCTCGTGGGAGCTTCTTGGTGATCGATGCCGTATGTTTGGTCTCCAAGCTTCGTACTGGTGGGTTTGGGTTGCCAGTTCCTTGAGATTCGATTCGGTCTGGTGGACGAGAATGGCAGGCGATGGATAGAAAAAGGGGCTGGCGTGGCGTATTTTCCTTCCAGCCCTGACTTTGCGTTTGTTCTAGGAGTGACTTAAGGACGCTTGTCAACAAGAGGGGTTTGAATACAAGAAGATTGATTGGTTGTTTCTTGGTCTTGGGGAAGTGAAAGGTTTTAGGTTGAGCAGGGATGGGAGCTGGGAAGGTGATGGCCTTAGAGGGTGGATTTACTAGTAGCCTCTTTATTGCAGCTACTGGTCTTATGTTAGGCACCTTGAGTGGGCCTTTGACCTACCTTTATTGCAGCGTGAGACGTTTAGTTACGTGAGAGTAACATGATTGGATCGTTTGTGGTTTTCGGCGAAGTTTACTTCGGGAGTACTGGTGACTAGTGAGGCTGAAGATAGATTAGCACCCTTTTTCGGGAT